GAGGAGGAGGCCGCCGCAGTGGCCCTGGGGGAGGTGCTGGGGCCGCACAGTGGCTCTAGCAGCGAGGGCAGCGAGAGGAGCACCGACCGGAGCCAGGAGGGCGCCCCGTCTACGCTGCTGGCTGACGACCAGAAGGAGTCCAGGGGCCGGGCCTCCATGGCCGACGGGGACCTGGAGCCTGAGGAGGGCTCCAAAACGTTGGTGCTCGTCTCCCCTGGCGACATGAAGAAGTCGCCTGTCACTGCCGAACTGGCCCCCGACCCCGACCTGGGCACCCTGGCTGCCCTCACTCCTCAGCACGAGCGGCCCCAGCCTATGGGCAGCCAGCTGGACGTATCTGAGCCAGGCACCCTGTCCTCTGTCCTCAAGTCTGAGCCCAAGCCTCCTGGGCCTGGGGCAGGGCTGGGGGCCGGGGCAGTGACCACAGGGGCAGGGGGCATGGCAGTCACCTCCTCACCCTTCACCAAAGTTGAGAGGACCTTTGTGCACATTGCAGAGAAAACCCACCTCAATGTCATGTCTTCCGGCGGACAAGCCTCACGGTCTGAGGAGTTCAGCGCTGGGGGCGAGCTGGGTCTGGAGGTGCCCTCTGATGGGGGCGCTGAGGAGGAGGGAGCCCCGGTGCCCCTGGAGAATGGCATCACCCTGTCAGGGCTGGATGGGGCAGAGATGGAGAACTGTGCCCCGTCTGCCCCCCCCAGGGAAACCCCCTCAGAGGTGGCCACAGACTCGCTGCCCAATGGCCCAGCCCTTGCTGACAGGCCAGCCCCAGCATCCCCACTGGAGCCAGGCCCTGAGAAAGGGGCCACCATCTCCCCCAGCCGCCATGCCATGCCAGGCCCTCGCCCCAGGAGCCGTATCCCTGTCCTGCTGTCTGAGGAAGACACGGGCTCAGAGCCCTCGGGCTCACTGTCGGCCAAAGAGCGGTGGAGCAAGAGGGTCCGGCCGCAGCAGGACCTGGCACGGCTGGTGATGGAGAAGAGGCAGGGCCGCCTGCTGCTGCGGCTGGCCTCAGGGGCGTCCTCCTCCTCCAGTGAGGAGCAGCGCCGTGCCTCAGAGACGCTCTCAGGCACAGGCTCCGAGGAGGACACACCTGCCTCCGAGCCTACGGCGGCCTTGCCCAGGAAGGCTGGGCGGGCAGCTGCCACCCGGAGCCGGATTCCCCGCCCCGTCAGCATCCGCATGCCCACGCCTGCTGCAGCCCAGCAGCCCCCCAGCAGACCCCATGGTGCGGCCCCAGCATCTGACACAGCCATCACCAGCAGGTGAGAAACCACTGCCAGCCCCGGAGTGGGCAGAGGGTGACCACAGGAGGCCTCCAGCAGCAGGGGCTTCTCTAGAGCCAAGGTCAGGGGCTATGGAAGATCAGGAGGGGCTCTCAGCTACACCTCCTGTCCACCACCCCCTCATTTCTGACTCAGGTCCCAGCCCTGTCCCTAGGTCTGAGGGAGTGGCTACAGTATGCATGTCTGGAAGGGGGCCAGGGGGGCCAGGCCTGGGAAAAGTTGATGGGGGCCATGGGGTACACACAGAGCCTCTGCTGTGCCAGGGGGCATTGGAAGCCAAAGGATAAAGTCAAGAGCTTTGAACAGCTGGGTGAAAACATTATTTCTTATTAATACAAACACAGATATGTTATAGATTAGAATGCAAAATCCAGGAGAATTTTAAAGATGAAACAAGGACCTCAAAGAAAGCCTGCAGCACTCTCTTCCTGCAACAGCCTGGGAGTGTGTGGCCCTTAAAGGCCCTGCCCTGGAGGATAGCACACCAGGCCATCAGTTTACCCACCTGTGCTATGATCTCCTCAGTCTCACCCAGCTCTGATGAGGCAGGACTCTAGGGCTCAGTGCCCAAAAAGATTCTGAAAATGTCCTCCTTTTTTTCTTTGCCCTTTTCTTTTCTCTTGCCTTCCGCTCCTCAAGCAGGCTCCAGCTGCAGAAGCCCCCAGGGCCGGCCGTTGCTGCTGACCTCCGCCCCAAACAACCTCCCGGCCAGGGCCCAGGACGAGTCCAAGCCGGCTCCAGGGCCCCCGCTCCCCGCAGTCCGGGCCTCCCCGCTTCTGCCGCGCGCCATCCCAGCGCGTCCCCGCGAAGCCAGTCCCTGTCCCGCAAAGAGAGCCCGTCCCCCTCGCACCAGGCCCGGCCGGGCGTAGCCCCACCCCGGGGCGTCTCGCAGGCCCGGGCCCAGCCTGAGGGCACCCCCTCCCCAGGAGGCCCCAAGAAAGGACCCAGAGGGAAACTCCAGGCTCAGCGCGCAGCAACCAAAGGCCGGCCTGGGGGCGCAGAGAGCCGGGCCGGGGCCAGATAATGACGCCCGCGGCTCTCCGCGGCCCCCCACCCTCACCCTGGCCCCCCACCCGCAGCCGGCCACACTGGAACAGCTCCCAGCACAGCCTTACGCGCCCGACGCGCGCCACCCGCGGCCCCAGCTTCCCGCCTGCACCCGCGAGGACGCGCGGGCACACGCCGCAACCCGCCAGCCTGCCTGGCCGGTGGGGGACACGGCGCCGTGCCGCGGGGGAGGGTCCGCCTTCCCCTCCTCTCCCCGTCCCCTCCCCTCCCCTGCTCTCCATCAGGAGGGGCAGGCTCACTGGTCCCTCTGCCCGGGAGAAGGCTCAGCCACTCTTCACCGAGGACTCCGCTTCTGGGGACACTCCATTCACCCACCAGGCCTTGGCTGCTCTCCATGCTCCCCGTCTGCTTACACCTCCTTCGGCACCTTGCCCTCCTCCCGGCCTTTTTCCAGCCCCCTGCCCCCCTTTCAGAGAAGCAGCCTCAATTTCCAGAAGTGGAGGCTTCAGCCTCCCACTGAGGGCCAACCCTACAGTCTCCTGGGAGCGCTGGTGGTGGTGATGGTGGTGGAGGAGGAGGAGGAGGAGGAGGAGGAGGAGGAAGGCCTCTGGACTGCCCATCAGTCTACTCAGCTGTGACGGGGCAGGTCTGACTTGCCCCAAAGTCAGCTCCATCCTGGACAACCCAGTGGGAGGCATTGGCAGATGATTCTTGGGGGCAGTGTGCTCCGCTGCACCACTGGGGTGCAGAGCCCCTGGGCCTCAGTGGGAACCACCAGAGGTCTGTGGGCTGCCTTCCTGGGCAAATGTTTCCCAGTGGGAAGTTGGGGCTTTGAAAAAAGTTTCACCCCTTCCCCTGGTCCCTTGATTTAGTGCTCAGGACCCCTCACCGTCAGGAATTCCTTCCTGTCATCTAACCTCAGTCCTGCCTACTGCAGTTTCAGCCAGCTTCCCTCTCTCCTGAGTTCAATGCAGGTGGAGGGTGGCTGGTTATCATCTCTGCGCTGGCCCTTTGGAGATTTAGGGACTCAGTCCTGGCTGTGTTACCCTCCCTGTCCTCCCAGCTGTGGGGAGTGGGCTGGCTCAGGCATCATCTCCCCCAGTGGGCAGAGAGCGTGGAGACAGGTGGACCTACAGACAGCTGGCGCCTGGAGGCAGAAAGGCCCTTCTAACTTCCTGACTGTATGCTTGTGTGATGGGTCCCCAGCTCAAGCCCGCTCCTCCCTCAGCTCCCCCTCAGGCTGTTCTCTCCTGCTCCAACCCCAGCCCATGCAGCTGCACTGCTCCCTGAGTGGATGAGGGGCCTCCTCCTGGGTTCTGGCTCCTGCATAGCTCATCCACCTCATCATGAGCCTCAACTGCCTACATCCGGGACAAGCAGCACACCACCTGCAGCAGAGACAACTAACCTTGACTATCTGGGACGGGCCCCCCGCAGGCCTCCTCCATCCTCAGCACCCGTGGTCTCTGCCCCTGGCCTGGACCCTCTGTCCTTCCCTGAGCCACAGAGAGCAAGCCAAGACATCCAGGAGAAGAGGAAGGAAGGCCTCAGTGTGCCCCAGCAGTCTGGTTGCATCCAGGCACCATCACCCAGAAGGATGCCCACAAAGAAGCTGGCCCCGGGAGCAGCCTGGTTGTGTCAGCTGAACCCCTCGTGGAGAGTCAGCAGGCTTGGGCAGCTGCTTCTATGCCAAGGTGGCAGCTTCCGTGTAGACCAGCCCAGGGGAGGACGCCAGGGTGGACAGCCTTCAAGGTCCATCCCATGCTGATGCAGAAGCTCCCAGAACACTCAGGAAACCTCTCTGGACAGAGCCCTCCTTGTCAACCTGAGTCCCTCCCAAGGCTCTCTGCTGCCATCTGGGTCCAGCAGAGAGGGTGGAGGAGGGGCCACTGCCTCCCACTTAGAGCTTCTCCGAATGACAATCAGCTTGTGCCAGGTGGGGACCAGGGCATGAGCCCTGGTGTCCAGCCCCTGGGCCTGCTCCTTGCCACCAACCGAACCGTGAATGTAGGGCCCCTAGCCTCACTTCTGCTCCAGGACCAACAACACCCTGGTTTGGAGCTGGGAAGAAGGGGGTGCCTGAGAGAGCCCCAGGTCCATACCGCCCCCAGTTTCACCCAGCACTGGAGCTGGCAGAGATGCAAAACCCAGTCTGCCCTTGGGATTCCAGACCTCCCTAGGGCTCCCAACTGACCTCAGGCCTCTGAGTCATTGAATGTCACCAGGCGAGGGGTGGGGGGGGAGGGGTGAAGAGGGTCAGTGGAGAGAGGGGCAGCAATGGGACTGACTCTGCTCCTCTCCCCAGGAAGGATCCAGGGCAGAGGAAACCACATCGCCCAGTGCCCCCACCTCCAGCTGCAGCCTCTTCTCCCTTGAGCATCCATCCCCTCCACCAGGCCCCCGAGGTCCTGAGCACCTGCTCTGTAAAAGAGTGTCACACCACTGCTGTAGCCCGCTTCCCCCAGCCTTTCCCCATCATGACAACCTATGTTACTGGCTCAGATGCGGGGTCTGCTCACCCCAGAACATGCCTTCCCTCCCCAGCTGCACCATGCACGAAGGGGGCACACGAGAGGGGCCATGCCCCAGTCCCATGGACTCCCCCTTCCCTGCTCCTTGCAGGGGCTGGGCTTGCTCAGTTTTCTCAGCTCCAGGGACCAGCCCTGGTGGGCATGGGGTGGGGAGCAGGGAGTTGCCTTCTCCATCCCTTGGGAAGCCACCTAAGAATGTTTACACGCCAAACAGAATGTAACACCCACCCCATCCCCTTCCCAGTCACTGCATGGCCTCTGTCCATCCTGCGCCTGTCCACCCCCACCCCAACACCCTGGAAGCCGCTGTCGTGATTAGATTGGGTCTCAGAAGGGAAGTAGCCATCACACCATTAAAAAGCCTGTGGACCTTTCTTTCTGTTGGCCTGAACTCTTCTTCCCTTTGGGAGGGCAGGGCAAAGCCAGCTCCTGGGGCTAGGGGTGGCCAAGAGAGAAGAGCCAGGTTGGTGGGCAAATGGGGAGGAGCCATCCTGGAGGCAGAGGAGGAAATGAAAGCTCAGAACAGATACAGGTAACTTGCTCGAGTGGCACAGAAGGAAGGGGACCGTCCTGCTGTCACTCTGATTGCAAAGCTGGCACTCACTCTCTCAGCCCCCTGGTCACTTCTGGTGAGGGCCAGAGACTCTGAGTCTGGCTTTGTGCAGAGAGACAGGGAAGAAGAATTTTCATTGCCCCAAGGTAACAGACAAAAGTGAAAGTGTTTGTAAAACCCATTATTATTGTAGCAAAATCTATGAGATCACAAGTGAGCATAGCTATGACACAGCATATCCACCTGTAGAAATTTACCCCGTGGATATACTTGTACACTTGCAAAATTGCTGTCCAAAGTTGTTCATTGCAGCTTTCTTTGTATATTAATAGCTCCACAAAGCCCTGTCTGCAATGCTGAATCCCAGAAAGTTCTGAAAGCTGAGAGTTTTCATTAGATTGACACAAACTCATTTGGTATCAAAACCTGACAAGACCATTTATAATCTTTATTAATTTCACTTATCATACGTGTTTGCAGTGGAAATATTAGTGTTTGTTTGATTATGGGGTAACACTCCAGATCCTGTTAGGGTATTTCATAATGTTCGGAATACACACCAAATGACCTTTCTAAATATATATACAGTTGACCTTTGAACATCATGGAGGTTAGGGGCGCTGACTCCCCACACAGTTGAAAATCTGTGTATATCTTTTGACTCCTAAAAAACTTAACTACTAATAGCCTATGTTGACCAAAAGCCTTACTGATAACATAAACGGTCAATTAACACATATTTTGTATGTTATATGTATTATGTGCTGTATTCTTACAATAAAGCAAGCTAGAGAAAAGAAAATGTTTTAAGAAAGTCATGAGGAAGAGAAAATATATTTACTGTTCATTAAGTGGAAGTGGATTGTCGTAAAGGTCTTCATCTGCATCATCATCTTCATGTTAAGTAGGCTGAGGAGGAAGAGAAAGAGGAGGGGTTGGTTTTGCTGTCTCAGGGGTGGCGGAGGCAGAAGATGCGGAGGAGGTGGAAGGGGAGGCAGGAGAGGTAGGCACACTCAGTGTAACTTTTACTGAAAAAATCCATGTATAAGTGGCCCCATGCAGTTCAAACCCATGTTGTTCAAGGATCAACTGCGTGTGTGTGTGTGTGTGTGTGTGTGTGAGTGTGTGTGTGTGTAGCTAATCCAATGGTTTGGGTAAGAGGCTGTGGACCTATAAAAGTTCAGAAGCAATCTAAAGTCCATTAATTGGTACTGGTCAGTAGAGCATGGCCCAACCACGCGATGGAGACCCCATCATGGGGTACTGTGAGACTCTAAAATGAAGGAGGCTAGCCAGACACAGTGGCGCGCCCCTGTGGTCACAGCCACTCGGGAGACTGAGGAGGGATGATTGCTTGAGCCCAGGAGTTTGAGGCCAGCCTGGACAACATTAGCAAGACCTCATCTCTAAATTAATTAATTAAATGAAGGAGTCATCTCTTTGTATACACTTATGGACCAGTCTTCAAGACCAAGAATAAGAAAAAGAAGTGTGCAAGGTACTTGATTAAATTAAAAGGCTTCTGTACATCCAAGGAAACAATCAACAGAGAAAATAGATAACCTACAGAATGGGAGAAAATATTCACATGCTATACATCTGATAAAGGGCTAATGACCAGACTCTACAAAGAACTCAAGCAAATCAGCAAGAAAAAAATCAAACAACCCCATTAAAAAGTGAGCAAAAGACATGAACAGAAGCTTTTCAAAAGAAGATAGACTAATGGCCTATAAACATATGAAAAAATGTTCAACATCACTAATCATCAGAGAAATGCAAATCAAAATTGCAATGAGATATCACCTAACCCCTGCGAGAGTGGCTTTTTATCAAAAAGTCCCAAAACAATAGTTGCGGGCATGGATGCAGAGCCATAGGAACATTTATACACTGTTGGTGGGACTGCAAACCAGTGCAGCCTCTATGGAA